ATGAACGTCTAGTGTTTGCCGATGGTTCTGTTTGTGCCAGCATTCTCCCGTGTGCAATTAGTGTTGCTAGTCCAGGATGAGTTCCTGGAATAGTGGTGACCTGCTTGGTAATTTCTTGGCTGAAGGATGTAGAAACCTGTAGATTGCAACGAGAAAGGGCATCAGCTGCTGTGTTGTGTATGCCCGGTATGTGTTCACATATCAAGTGGAAATGTTGTGTTGCTGCTAACCATGTGAGCCTCCTAACTAGACTCATGATTGTCAGGGAAGATGACCTGCCTTTGTTGATAATGTCACTTGCTGCCATGTTGTTGGTGAGGCATTTTATGGTCTTCCCTTCCCACTGGTGGCCCCACACTAGCGCTGCTGCCACTATTGAATATATTTCGAACAGGGCAGAAGTACTGTTAAATGAAGGTAGAGTTGTTGTTTCAATTGGCCATTTGTCTCTGAATCATTCATCACCAAAAATTGCTGCGAACCCTGAATGTGCTGCTGCATCTGTCCATAACACTGGGGAGTTCTCTGTTAAAGGAGGGATGAATAGATTTACCCCGTTCCAGTGTGTCAAGAATTCTCTCCACATGGCCAAATCTGCACTCTAGTTTGCCTTTGGGAAGTATGATCAATCCTGTGTGGAAGCCCTCTGTGAACCCTGTGACTAGAAATTGTACTAACTCCTGTGAGGGGTGTGCATTGAGGTAGAAGGCTAACGTGTCAACTTGTGCATATACAAGTCCAGTTCCTCTCTACGTTGTGTAAAATTAAAGCAGATGACATCCCTTTACAACCCAAATGCGAGTACAAAATTTGGTATGGACAGTTTTTTCCCCAGCCTAGGGTCTTTGGCCTTGAGCACTATGTCACCATAGTTGTAGGTTTTGTTTTCCACTATGTCCTGTGATGCTATCAGTAAGGGCATGAGGTTTACGTCTTTTCCCTCAATAATATCTCTCTTGATGTTGGGTGGTATCATGTGTGCTGGTGTGATAATGTGTGTATCTGCACCCTGTGCATTTTGTGTACCTGTGGCATTTCCCTGTGAGATGGTTTGGTTGATAACTTGTGTAGGAGGGATATCTGGGGGACACACTGTGATCCCCTATGCCTGAGTTCTGCTGCGATCTTTGAGATTGTCCATGATCCTAATGAACAGGGGCTAGAGGGGTCTTGACTTTCTCCTGCTGTAAGGGCCGTAGTTGGAGTAGGGGGTCTAGTTGGTGTGCTGGGCATGGAGAAGTCGTCTGCTTGCTCTGATGCATGTGACATTCTATAAATGAGTCTTGTCTTGCTATAGTTATAATGACTTGCGTTAACTGGCTTCTTTAATTGCCGGGTGGTGAAGAACTTAACTATTACTGGGATGGTGAGGCGCTGCTGATGCCAAGTGGCTGATAGAGGCGCTATCTATGATTTGGCCCTTTGCTGTGCCTTTGAGCGAAAGCAGGGTGTAGGCCTCTGGGGACTTAATACGTATATAATGGCAGAGAGAAGTGACACCCTAACTAGAGCTCTTGAGTAGAGTGGTTAGAGACAATAGCTATGATTTGGACCGTTTGGGCTGGTAAACCTCTATGTGAGGATGGGTGTTGGTCTCGCAGGATACCGATCTGCCTTGCCTGTGTATGACCCATTCAAGTACCCTATCTGCCAGTATAACACTGCTTGGGATAAGTGGCATATTGGAGGCCACATACCTGATCGTTTTTAGAGAAGGGATCTTATCAGTCGCGGGATTCTTGAGCTTATAGACGTGTACCACCTGTGAACCAAGACTGTCATTGGTGACTTCTCTATGGTTGTGTGTGTTTTTAAGATTGATTTAAGTGATACATACCTGGATCAACTGTTGGTCCTCTAAGGGGTGGCCGGTATGAGTGGTTACTTCTGGATCTAACGGATTAAGGGAATGAAGTGACTCTTATTTAATTTCACGTGCGTTAAGTGTGACTTTAACTTTTATTATGGGAAATGATTGTTTGTACTTGTGAAGTATTATGACCTGAGCGCCAAGATGACGTTGCTAAGTGATAGTTACATAGTTACATATAGTTACTGTAACGGACCGTTTTGCACACAAGGGGTAAAAACCGTTTAGGCGATCGGCCCCCTTTCCAGAGATACAGGCACAGCTACTGCAGAACACCAAACTCCTGAACTGGATACAAAATAGCACTCCAACTCCCGAACTGGAACCTCCCAAATAGCTGCTAGCAGACGAACAGGAAAAGCAGACGAACAGCTTACACTCCTGGCAATCAGTCTCTAACAGCATACAGTGAATCCCCCCAAGAACGAGACAAGGCTCCGTGTTGAGGGTCAAGCAGTGGTCTGAGGTGCTGGCACACCCAGCCTGGTTTTTATTACAGTCTTGCAAATACAGGACCGCCCACAGGGAGGTATAAAACAACCAATCACATCACAGTTACATCCCACATATTCCCTCCCCTTATCCTGAGAGGAAACTCAATTACACATACAGTTAAAACATACTTTCTACCCAACTTTCATAACTCTAAAACCATACATCACATTCACATAAAATTACATATGCACAATCAATCCATTCAGGGGAACAACATATTCAAAAATGGCACAAATCAGACAAGGGGTTCAAAAGTTAGTAAAAAGTCCTTTGTGACTAAATGAAGCATGGCTTTCTGGCCCAAACCAGTTTCAGAGTCTTCTATCCTGGAGATAAGTAATTCAATTATCTCCCAGGACAGACACAAGACTCCATTAAGCACATGGTTGCAAAAAGACACAAAACACTTTAAAATACATAAAGTCACATTTATTACATAAAACACAGACATGTAACATATCCCCAGATAGCTCAGGTCTGAGCGCACATTATTAAGTGAATGGCGCTCAGACCACACGAATACAGTTTAATCGCCATGGAGCCAAAGTCTTAACAGTCAGTTTCATACGAATGGGCTCCATGGGATTCCTATCTGGGGTATAAGACATTCACACAAAAATACCGAACACCGGGTCATTCGTGTGCTTTCACCGAACAAGAAGGGAGGTCGGCGGCTTCAGCGGTGTTCGCGCAAAACTGTGTCCGATTTTAGTTCCATGAAAATAGAGGCGAACACCGCTGTTCATTCGTATGGTTTAAAATGGCCGCGACCTCGTGTTCGGGATACGAACGGCGGCCACCCAGCGTTCATCAATTAAGCTGCGGTTAACCGCAGCTTCAGGGAGGTTAATTGCCGGCACACTCCAGCTCCCAGGTGGTCCAGTCATTCGTACGGTTGTTCGGTAGATTGAAACTACCGAACAACCGGCAGAAAAGCATGAATATGGCTTTTCTGCATGGAAAAATAAAGTCTTTTAAAAGGGGGCCATAGTCCAAAGGCAGCAGGCGAGCAACCAGGCTTCTCCAATGCAATGTGGCGAGATTGGTCTCGTCACAGGCCCGAAACAAATTGCACATGTCTAACCCACTCCCTCAAGCATCTAAGCTCAATGAGCAGGGCCCTCAACCCCTCTGTCCTTTGTGTCTAACTTGTCTGGTTACAACTGCATGTCTCTTCGTCCACCCACTGTAAAGCGCTGTGGAATTTGTTGGCGCTATATAAATATTAACATAATAACTCTCTCCTTGACCCTCTTCAATCTGGTTTCCGCCCCCTCCACTCTACTGATACTGCTCTTATCAAAGTTACTAATGACCTTACTCGCAGCTAAATCCAAAGGCCACTACTCCATACTAATACTTCTTCACCACTCTGCTGCCTTTGACACGGTTGCTCTCCTTCTTCAAACTCTTCAATCACTCAGTCTCTATGACACTGCCTACTGCCATCAGACTCTCCCCTAGTCTTCAAACATTTAAGAAGTGCCTTAAAACCCATCTCTTTAGGAAAGCTTATGGCCTCCCAGAGTAACCTCTACCTCACATACTTGTCTCTTGCTCTCTCCTAAAGCGCTGCTTCACTCCCACCTTATTTGATTGCTGTTCCCTGTCCTAATATGTTTTATACCCCACCTCCTGTAGACTGTGAGCTCATTTGAGCAAGGTCCTCTTCAACCTATAGTTCTGGTAAGTTTTCTTGTAATTGTCCTATTTATAGCTAAATCCCCCCTCTCATAATATTGTAAAGCGCTAAGGAATCTGTTGGCGCTATATAAATGGTGATAATAATAATAATATATTATTAGTTGGTACCTTTAGCCACAAGGAGGGCAAATGGGAATGGACTGGGAGACAGGAAATCTACGGTCTAATATTTAAATTGGGGTATATCTCATCCTGTAAAAATAAAGTGCCCCAATCCTGCTCTAATTACAGTCTAAGAGGAACGCCAAGTCCTCAGTGATCAATCAAGGTCCCTAGGATGTAAATATGCCTGAATCCCAAAAGTGGAACCCAAAGGAAATATCCAACTGGTGGTGGTGGGTGATGAATAAAACTCCTTTTATTTAATAATATTAATGAGGTGCAGCACTGGGCGGATGGCTTAGTGTGTGCATGATCGACTCTGGGTTACAATCTTGCAGCTAACTTACTCGACCGCTATGAAAACAAGAGGTGGAGAGGAAGAATGACAAACTGCAAGCTGAATGTATTTCTTTTATTCTACAAGTCACTCGTCTGCCGTTTCTGCTGCTGTAGTGTTTATGGACAGTCAGGTCACCCCAATTCATCTTACTAATTCCTTGATTTCTTCAGAATGCTGAGCTGGCAGAGAGAGATGGACAGCTGCTCTACAGATTCTATAACCTGATTATACATGGGTTTATTTCATGTACGACTACTGTGATGGCCTTGGACCTTGGGTCAAATGAGATTTCTGAAATCCTAACTCAACTTCAGCCACAGAATGACCAAGCTGAGCATGTCATGCAATATGTGGGAAAGCCCAAAAGGTAATATTTTTATGGAGATAATATAGAAGACCACTTTTCTAACCATGAAGAAGTCCATGATGGGGTGGAAATGTGTGGGCTGGTGGAGAGCAGTTAAATGTTATCTCTGTTTGTATCTAATATCCCATTATGTGCTATCTGTAATCCCACACAGAAAGCAGGGTCTCACAATGGAGTGATGATATTTCTATTTATTGGAATCAGTTACATCAAGCGACAGTAATTAGCAATGATTGGATGGGAAGTGGTGGGACACAGTCCATCCCAAGCGGAGAGATAGTAGGATGGATCACGAGGCGTGCCATCAGTGTGCTATGTGCTATGCAGCGTCCGTCACTCGTTACCGGATAGAGATTAGTTTTCTGTTGGAAGAAAAGCAAAGTATTGGTTAATTTATTATAAAATCATTTATTAATACGATGATAAAACCAAACGGATCTTCCAAATCACGCAGCCTTCATCATTACAGCTTGTGTTACTGACATTTATAGAACCTCACACCTTCTGCAGTTCTACATTTCATAGTCTTACAACGTGGAGATTTCAGGGATTTTATTATTTATATCCAGCACCTCCGCAGTGTCTGCAGAAACCTAACAGTGAAATTCCCAATAAAACCCCATTTTATTCCAGGTCATAACATTGCACATCACTCTAAGCTCAACTAATGGAAGATTTAGCATTGTGGGAGTCGTCATCCACAGCACAAAGAGGCTCTCTTTTCCTTTTACAGAGCAAGTACTCAGCTGTTTTTAGAAGATAACACCCATCACTCTCAGGCAGTGTAGGAACTCTCTGAATCTATGTGAACGGACGGATATCTGGGCATGGCTCCGTTTGATGGACCACTGACAATGAATGCCTGAACCCCCTTACTGATTACACAGCACCCCAAATCTTCTACTGATGGCAGAGCACCCCAAATCTTCTACTTGTGGCAGGGTACCCCAAATCTTCTACTGATAGACATAGCCCCCCAAATCATGTACTGATAGCAGGGCACTAAAGTTGGTGTTTGCATTGCCGATAGCTAGGTATAGTTGGGGTCAAGCAGTTAGTGGGAGCAATAAAAGTGATACATAGCATGGAGCGGATCTTGATGGATTTTCACCGGCATCAGTGGAGTGAAGAGGTCGTTTTCGTCTGACTTCTGCAATCATAGCCAGCAATAGACATTTTATTTCTTATAGGTAGGTACTTTGGTGGGCTTGGTGTAGAAAGACAATTGTTTCACCCACTATCACAAATCTGTCTTAGGTTTTTTTTCGTCATAAATGGTGACACTTAGTGATGTAACTGATTGCCCTGGGGAATCCTGACATGCCCTGACTCAGTGATCCACAGGGGGCAGCATGGAGCCAGACTCACCAATCACTATCCTTCCGCAATAGTAATCAACGCAGTAGAAGCAACATCTTTCAGTTCCTTGGCATTGGTTGTCCATATGGCAGTTACCGGGGGAAAGGCGGATGCGTGCACATATGGAGGGATCATAGGAAGGACACGGGTCCAGCTTAGCTGTAGGATGAGAGCAGGTTATTCAGATGACAGTAAATACAAACATTCCAAGATAAATTGCATATTCAGTAAATAAAACATTTTATAATTTATTTCTGTTCTCATCTTGTGTTCCAGAATGGACACCTGCAGGATTATTCACTAAACAGCAGATATTAAAGGCAATTCTCATATTTACTAAAACCAACTCCGGCCCGAGCGTTCTGCAGCAATCGCCCGGATGCATTCGGTGTCTGGATTATAATCAGTATTTCACACCCAAATCCTGCACTAATTATAGGACCCGGAAGATTCACAATATTACAAAAATTGGGGCCAAATGCATCTAGCAGAATTCACATTGACAAATTATTGTTTATTTTTTTTATTTGCAGTGCGAACAGCCAGATGACAAATAGTTAAACAACCATCAGCATTGCAAGGGTTAATTATGTGTCAGCCAGCTGGTACATTAAAAAAAGTAAAATAAAAACCCTATAGGAGTCAATAAGAGACCCCATTAGGTCTAAATCCTCCCTATACCCTATACCTCGGATAAAGGCATATCCACTGTGTATAAAACTTGTGACTGGGATAAATAATGAGGGAGGCATAGTTACCTCCGTAACCTACACTTGTATCCATTGTGTGGGGAACTTTAAAATAAACAATGGTGGCCAGCGGACTATTTAATAAAAAATAAATAAAGAGGTAAGGGTTATTATAATTTAACAGGGGGACCAAGTGTCTCTTCCAGCCCCCACCCATTGGTGGAGGGTGGGGGCCCTAATTATAATATTCAGGGGGAGGTTATAATGTTCCCCCGAAATCCATGCATATGTGGCAGGTGGGGGAATCTAAATAACTATACAATAAGGGTGTGGACATGGCATTGACCACCCCACAATTAGTATATGGCCACCTCCCCAAGTCTTTAGCCACCTTCCATTAAAAAGTATATAAATAGTTCAGATATTTTTAAACCCGGGCCTGGATTTAAAGCATTCGGGTCCAGGTTTTAACCATCTGAACCACATTCAGACCCGTTCAGGCCCTGAATTGCAAAATCTGGATATTATTAAAAAGTGTGAATAATGTCCGAATGGCCCCATACAGCACTGGATGGGTTGACAATTTATCTCATGATAGCCAGGCTGGCAAAATGGAGAATTTTTCAATTCTGTTACTTGGACCAAAAAGGTAAAATTCGAGCAATTCCCACTTTTAGACCTTAAAAGAACATATTATTGCTATATTTTTAATTAGAGTAACTTTCTAGGTAGAATAATGAATGGAATCAATTCCATTCCGTCATCTAACTTTTCATGCATTCTACCTAGAAAACGCCGGACCCTCCAAACAATTGGACTACTTTATGTTTTTAAGATGATGAGCATTATCTTTGTGCCTGAGGTAGACCCGGTATAAAACCTTAGCTATTTCTAATGCAATAAATTAAGAAATGCTTAATATAAACCATCAATTAAACACAACTTCATGATGAATTAATGCAGACGAGACCAAATTGTTGAAAAATGTCATCAGAAAGACGGACTAATAAGGTAATAGATGGTCACCGGCTGCATTAACACAGAACATGTTCGGGTCTATATTGTGCACGAAAACAGTTACACAATAAGCTGAGGACTGGAAAAATTGACAAAGAATTGCAAATTTAAGATGGAAAATGTTTTTGCAAATTCTGTATTTTCCAACCTAAAATTTCTGATTAGAATTCTGGAATTAGTTTCCACTGTAATCTGTTTTAGCTATTTTTCAATAATTTACATTTAATTTAAATAAACAAATCGTAATTTTAATGGTGTTTAGATTGTTTGCAATGTGGAAACGTTAGTAATTTTTTTTAAATAGTAATAAAATCAAATATTTAAAAATTCAGTGAAAGTTTTTAAATAACTGCATCTTGTGAAGACATTGGCTTGGCGTGCACATTACCCTGCACACATGAAAATAAAACACATGGCAGCACTACAAAACTAATAAATATGTGAATGGATTGTCTGTGCTATAGTAACATAGATAGCAGATGAGATTGAATGTAGATAAATGCAGTCATGCATTACCGATGTGGAATGCACAATGAACTTATACCCTAAATGGAACTAGGGTTAGGGAGTTAGGGAAAAGAATAAACAAAAAGGACTTAAAGGACCACTCTAGGCACCCAGACCACTTCAGCTTAATGAAGTGGTCTGGGTGCCAGGTCCCTCTAGGGTTAACCCATTTTTTTTTATAAACATAGCAGTTTCAGAGAAACCCTATAGGAGTCAATAAGAGCCCCCATAGAGTCCATAGGAAAGCATTGTAAATGCTTTCCTATGAGACCGTCTGAATGCGCGCTCATTCAGCCGAATGGGAGGAGAGGAGGCGGAGAGGAGGAGGAGAGCTCCCAGCCTGGCGCTGGAAAAAAGGTAAGTTTTACCCCTTTCCTCTCCCCAGAGCCGGGCGGGAGGGGGACCCTGAGGGTGGGGTCACCCTCAGGGCACTATAGTGCCAGGAAAACGAGTATGTTTTCCTGGCACTATAGTGGTCCTTTAAGAGCAACAATGTCAGGTAGCAGTTGTTAAAGAGTTGAGCGGACACCTGGATGTTTGAGTTCGGCTGAACTTCGTCAAATAGTTCGAGTTTGGGCTAGAACTTGACCTGAACTTGACCCCGAAACCCCATTGAAGTCAATGGGGACCCGAACTTTTGGGCACTAAAATGCCTCTAAAAAAGTAATGGAAAGGGCTAGGGGGCTGCAAAACGAAATAAAATGGGAGTAAGTAGGACAAGTGCCCTATAAACAAATGTGGATAGGGAAATCCCTTAAAATAACATCAAATACATAAACATTTAAAATACAGCTGAGCCATAAAATAGCACTAGATGGAATCTTTGATTTTAGCTTTGGAAGAGCATAAATCAAAATCTAAAGCATGGCTGTCAGGAGGATCACCAGAATTATCCATTTGAGGGAGGGTTGGAGTGCAGGGTATTCTCTTTCATTGTTCAAACTGAGCTCAACACCTGATGCATGGAGAAAAGGCCTTCACAAACCTCTGCTACTGTGTACCTAGTTTATACTAAGAGATCCATAGGTTGAGGAGGCAGTGACCGTGGCGGTGTAGGTGGAAGCAGCGGTGGAGCAGGAGGAGGTAGCCAACACTGTTTTTTATATATTTTTTTTATTTTAATTGGGGTAGCCCCCAAAATATTGGGACATATAAAAAAAGAAACATTTGCGGCCTGCGGTGCATTTCTTGCAGTCCAATAACACCATCAGGTTTTTAAAACTGTCCGTCTCCACCAGACAGAATGACAGCATTTCAAAGGCCACGAATTTTGAAATGCTGGCATTCAGGGCCAGGGATTGTGGGTGGCTAGGGGGGTACTTCGTCTTTCTCTCCAGTGTTTGGGAGATGGACAGCTGAACGCTTCCATGGGACAGTGTGGAGATGCTTGGGGATGGTGGCGGACGTGGTAGCGTTGCTGCCACATCCTCTGTTTGCGGGGTGTCAGGTGCCACTGTCACTCCAGAGGTGGAGGAAGAGGCCGAGACAGCAGCAGAAGAGGAAGCAGGAGGAGCCTGAGACCTTCCTTGGTTTTTGAGGTGCTTACTCCACTGCAGCTCGTGCTTTGCATGTAGATGCCTGGTCATGCAGGTTTTGCTCAGGTTAAGAACATTTATGCCTCGCTTCAGGCTCTGATTGCACAGTGTGCAAACCACTCGTGTCTTGTCGTCAGCACATCGTCTGAAGAACTGCCATGCCAGGGAACTCCTTGGAGCTGACTTTGGTGTGCTCGGTCCCTGGGTGCGGTGTGCAGTAGCAGGCGTACTGTCTAGGGGATGGCTGCTCCGCTTTTGCACCCTGCTCTAGGAGGAGGAGGTGGATGTGGAGTAGGAGGTTGAGGAGGCGGTGACCGTGGCGGCGACTACGCATTTGAATGTCTGCCCTATCAACTTTCAATGTTACTTTCTGCGCCTACCATGTTGACCACGGGTAACAGGGAATCAGTGTTCGATTCCAGAGAGGGAGGCTGAGAAAAGGCTACCACATGCAAGGAAGGCAGCAGGCGCGCAAATTACCCACTCCCGATGCGGGGAGGTAAGGATGATAAATAACAATACAGGACTCTTTCCAGGCCCTGTAATTGGAATGAGTACACATATGAGGCGGTGAGCGGGAAGGCCGAAGTTACGCTGCAGCGCAGACAGGCGAGCAGCAGCAGGGTGAGAACGCCGAAAGCGCACCCAGCCATTACACAGAAATGGCTCATTAGGAGTCATTAAATCAGTTACTCCGTCTGTTACTTGGATAACTGTGGGAATTCTAGAGCTAGTACATACCGACGAGCGCAAGGGGACGGCCACTCCGCTTTTGCATCCTGCTCCCTCTTATGCTGATGTAGTAAATTCGAATCAAAGTTACATTTGTCCAAAAAAATTCTCGCCCATCTTCTGTGGGTTATTGCATCTTTAAGATGTAGACTTATTGTATCACACTAGCCATGCACAGGTAGATTGTCTATTTAGCACCAAAACATTATTAGTATTAGTTATAGACAGCATTAATGCTAGATAGGCTTTCTCAGCTTGTCACATTTTAGTGCTTTGTTACATTATGTACACTATAGACTATTGTGTCAATAAGTGACATTCAGAACATTCCAAACATGGCAGTAGTACGTTTTATGTGTCAGGTTCCACACCTTTCAGAGGCAGGAGGCACTGTTTCTGACAGCCAGAAAAGCAGCACTTTCTGTCCCCCTTGCAGTCTCTGTCTGTCCGACAATCGTTCTTCAGATTGTTTACATTCACCGAGTCACATCGTGGGTAATCAACGTCCAAAGGACAAATGCCCGGCTTCTCTACATCAGGAAAAGGAACCAAAAAATATCATTATTCAGACATAATGGGTAATAATTGATTAAAGCATTTTACAGGAATGTCTGTGTGAAACATTGAAAAATACATATGTGTTTGTTTGTATCTGTATCTCTCTAGCTTGTTGGCTGAGGGGTTTCTCTGACTTATTTACAAAAACAGCTTGGTTAGGGATTATTGCAGCAGGTGTGGGGTTAATGCAGCAGGCGTGGGGTTAATAAAGCATATTTAGGAGATACTGCAGTATGGTGTGAGTTCAAGAAATGTAGAAAAATGTATCAAAGTATTGATCCGTTTCCATGGGACTCCCTGTGCGTGTTCCCTTATTTGTACTTTGTTTCATCTGATATCCCCTTGCATTCGAATGGAATCACTACGTGATAATTGTTCCTTTGTGTTCGGCTATCCGTTACCTTCTGTTCGGTTACCGACAGAAGTGGTTGTCCCCCTTGTTAACACCTTGTAATCACCGACAACCCCTGGATGTTAACCACAAACCATCACTTCAAGTGCTTCGCTGGGTGGCCTTCATTTGCATATATGAACACACGTGCTATCAGGATTGGCGGCCATCTTGTCTACCGAACGCAGGAACCATTATATGGTCATTAATGGCATGGATCTTTGAGTTGACTACGCAAGCTCGTGAACCCCACTCGTACCCTTGCCCATTCATCCTCCCGACCAGCTGGACTAAGAAAGTACCGAACAAGGCAAGCATTCATGTCGTAAAAATCCAGGGTATGCGTTCGTCGGTGCTCAGTCATCTCAAACACAATGACTTGTGGGAAGGAAACCCTGTGATTTTGTCTTAGAAACTCCATGCTAGGGACACTGTATAAAAAGCCGAGTGTGGCCTAATAAAGCTCAGATTGCTTCTTCTACCCAAAACGACTGGTTGCATCCATTATATTGGCGAAATTCTACACAACGATACCACACAACATGCTATTCTCTGTTACTATACAGGATACGACACGCTATTCTCTGTTACTATACAGGACACAATACGCTATTCTCTGTTACTATACAGGATACGACACACTATTCTCTGTTACTATACAGGACACACTATTCTCTGTTACTATACAGGACACGACATGCTATTCTCTGTTACTATACAGGACAGGACATGCTATTTCTCTGTTACTATACAGGACACACTATTCTCTGTTACTATACAGGACACACTATTCTCTGTTACTATACAGGACACGACACGCTATTCTCTGTTACTATACAGGACACGACATGCTATTCTCTGTTACAATACAGGACACGACATGATATTCTCTGTTACTATACAGGACAGGACACGCTATTCTCTGTTACTATACAGGACACGACAGGCTATTCTCTGTTACTATACAGGACACAACACGCTATTCTCTGTTACTATACAGGACACGACATGATATTCTCTGTTACTATACAGGACACGACACGCTATTCTCTGTTACTATACAGAACAGGACACGCTATTCTCTGTTACTATACAGGACAGGACACGCTATTCTCTGTTACTATACAGGACACACTATTCTCTGTTACTATACAGGACACAACATGCTATTCTCTGTTACTATACAGGACACACTATTCTCTGTTACTATACAGGACACGACATGCTATTCTCTGTTAGTATATAGGAGACAACATGCTTTTCTCTGTTACTATACAGGACACGACACGCTATTCTCTGTTACTATACAGGACAGGACACGCTATTCTCTGTTACAATACAGGACACGACACGCTATTCTCTGTTACTTCATAGGACACGACACGCTATTCTCTGTTACTATACAGGACAGGACATGCTATTCTGTTACTATACAGGACAGAGGCGGAAGTACGCATGCTTGGGGGACCATCGGATGGCACATGCACTTGGGTTCATCCTAAGGTCAGGTGCCGCAGCCCTTTAACAGCATGACCGGGACCCTGTACTGCAGGCAGCCAGAGCTGGAGAAAGTGAGAGCCCAGCTACAGAGAGAGCACCACGTGGGAGAGAGGATGAGGAATTACAGGATTGGAGGGCAAGTGGAGACCTGGCTCCTGTCACCCCCACACTCCTATCAGCCTCAGCCAGCAGGACACAAGGAAGGAGGCCACCCTCCTGCACATAAAAAGTATGTTAACAAAAAGGTGGCTGAAAATATAACAATTATGACGTGTGTGTATCTGTGTATGTATATGTTAGTGTTTGTGTATGTCAGTGTGTGTATCTCTGTATGTATCACTCTGTTTATATGTGTGTCAGTGTTTTTGTATGTCAGCGTGCAATGCAAGCATTGCCTAGAAGTACTCCACTGCATTCCAGTGACACCGGTTCATACAAATACAACTCTACACGCGTGCACACATACTTCATGCAAAAACATGACTACATTTAATCACAAACACAACCCTGCAAAGATGGGCAAATGATAGACCCCAGCTGGCATAGCATTGTGGAAGTTGTACAACAGAGGACGATCTACCTTTTGGCCACCATTATGTTAGAGAGTGCCCAAACATATTCACAGGAGTAAGATCCCGTGGTGCCCGAGGCATGTTACAGGTTTGAGACCCCCTTCATTCTTCACATGGGGTTGGTGAATGGGTGAATTCACGGTTCCAGGTTCCCTGTATAAGCCCTGGACCTTAGGTTAATCAAGCCTCACAGACTGAATAAGGATTGGATAGTTCTGGGTTAACTCACCTGCCGGATCCGTAGCCCTGGCTCCCAGGAAGCACAGACTGAGACCCAGAGCGATCAGGCTGGCAGAAATCATGTTGTCCTCACGCTGTGTGTGAGCCCAGTCTGTCACTACCCGGCCTTTATAGCAGCGTTACAGGGAGGGACGGAGGTCATTCACTCACTGTATCTGTTCCAAAAATAAAAGTATTTCCCAACAATCCCAGGATTTCCACATCTCCTCGGGGAGCAAACATATCCAGCCACACCTAGGACACTCGGTCAGGGAAGTAACATTCATTATGTAAATAGCTGTTTACCTGCTAATCACCAATTATAAATGTCATCATCTCCCATGCTGGCATTTTGAATCTGGAATGCCCGTATGGGTGGGACCCGTCTGATATGCTTCACATATGTTCTCTCTGTAATGGCACAAGATGAGCTAAAACCAGCTTGAGTTCTGAGCGGCAGGTTATTTCCGTTGCTGTTCGTTCTCAGAATACTCTTGTGACCTATTTTTTTGCTCAGTTTATGATTACTTTTTATTTGACTTTTTTGGTGCAGAAGAAAGAAGAATTTAAAAGGTAAGTATAGGAATTAGATTTTTAGAAATCCTTACCATTACTAGGGTGAGAGGGTGCGTTGGGTGTATTTAGTGGGACTAGTGGCACTGGTGGAACTACTGCTGGTGCAGTGGGTGTGGCTGCACAGTGGCCGGCACACTGAGAGGGTCCATATAGTGCCCCAAGCACTTGGGGCAACCCGGTGGGACTGTGTCCTCTTGGGCCTAGTTGTGCGCAGTCTTTTAACACCACAAGTTGGACCTTTACTTATCTGCAGCCAGAGCTGGGAGGAAGTGGGAGCCGGTCACTTCCTCCCAACCGACAAATACACTGAGCCCAATGGGAGGGAGAGGAGTAGAGGAGAGAACTGAAAAAGCCAGATTTTTTACTCCCAACAGCTCCAGCCAGCTGAAGCTACCTTCCTGCACGCAAAAAAGTGGCCAGCATGTGTGTCATTGTGTGTTTTTGTGTATCTGTATGTATGTCAGTATTTGTATCTGTGTGTCTGTTTATCTGTATGTGTCTCAGTGTTTGTATCTGTGTATGTGCATGTGTGTCAGTGTATATCTGTGTGTCTGTGTCAGTGCATGTGATGTAGAATTATTAAAATCTTTACTGAACCTGTATTGAATTATTGTACTAACTCCATTTTAATCTCACACTGTGACAGAACTCTCCATTTTGTTCACCTTACATGACAGTATTCAATATAATGAATAAGAGATTGTATTTTCTCTCTCTAAGGACATAACTAGCCCCGGAGTTAGCAGATCTCCGTTGACTTGCAACATAGTATAATCCAAGGCCAGGAGAACAGCGACTAAATGAAATGTTTTATTCATAAAAGAACCTTGGACCAGGCCACGAGACTGACATCACTAACTACGTAAAATGATGCCCAAGCCCCCCCTTTCCACCGAGTAAGCCTCGTGCTAAAGAGCAATGGCGACGACATCCCATGATGGGAGGGTGCCTCACTAGTCACTCAAATCTCTGAGCCAATTAATAATATTAATGGGTGGACACTGACATAGCCACTTAACATTTAACCCAATTAATGATGTTTATTTGTTATTATCTGATATTCAATGATGATGTCATTTTGCATATAAAAAGGCCTGCGTGCCCGCTTTTTAACTAGATGCTAATAAATTTCCTGAAGTGTTTTTAACCTGAACTGCATGTGTCAGTGTGAACTTACTTCTGCGTATACGCAATTTATTCATCTCAGATTTGGACAGGAACAGATAGACTTTTAAACATTTTTGTTTATTTCTAAATTAATCTACATCAATCTGGCGTCCATCCAACGTGGGGCATCGGGCTATGGCCTCCGGCCGGTAAGCCGTCCTAAGGAAGACGCTGTTGGACGGAGGAATCAGGGGGGAAGGAAGAGAGACTGATCACCTCTGAGTACACGGTAGAGACTTCTGCAGGAGCCACCGGTATGTTCCAGCCCCTTTGATTGACCCGTCCACGTGTCTGTGACTGCTTCCCGGGAGGGCATCAAAGACAGGTAATATCTTGCCCGGTGTCTTGTTACCCATTTGTTTACCTGCATTTAGTCTATCTGTTGCCTGGGTGTGCTAGTGGTATATGTTTTGTTCTTTCCCTCTTTTGGGATAAAGGGGGGTGGACCCGTGGGTGGTTGCCTGGGGGTCTTCTGTTGCCTGTTTTTACCCCTTTTTAGGAGTCACTTGGCCCAGACTGTTGGGAAAAAAGGGGGGGTGGACCTGTGGGGACTTTCCAAAGGGGTCCTGTTTTCCTGTTTACTTCTTTTAGGTACTGTCTAGCTAACAGTAGTAAGGAAAAAGAAGGGTTGGGGGATCTGTGGAGGGGACTTGCCTCCTGGGGTTTCCCGGTTACGTCACTTTGATATTCTAGCTAGCCTCATTGTGTACGTTGCTCTGCTTGCAGAGGTTATGGTACCCTCCAGCTTCGAGCGCTGAGGCTGGTGGCATTCCAATTTATTTGTGGTGTGTGGATTCGGGCAGGCATTGTTGTCTCCATCACCACGGGGTAGTGTGACTTGTGGGTGGGTCCATAGGGAGCACTACGGGAGTGAGGATAGAGGTGGCCACACTTAGTGGACTGCTGTAACGAGGGAGGCATATGGATTTCGGGCCGGTGTTAGTCGTTATCCTTGGCCGCTGGTAGTGAAACTTACGAAAGTTGTTCTCCGAGCGGGGACACTACGAGATTGAGGGAGGTGGCCTTGGTGGCCACAAGAGTAAAGGAAAGGGATTACTGTTGATGCATGCACTGTATTTCAATTGAAATGTTGTATTAAATGTTGTCTTAAGTGTGGAGTCATTCAAACTCCTGGGTCTGTCTCTACTTTCACTGTTTACTTTTACTTTACTTCCTGTACTATTTACACTATCCACTCCTATTTCTCTTGAAAGAGAAGTGATTGGTCACACACTTCTCACCCCGCTCCAATCCGTGGTTACCATCGAGGGTACACGGATTCAGTGACTGGTCTACGTTTTGGGAAGACGCACTGGGAGGGACCCACCCTACCTAGTGGCAGTCGAGCATTGTAGACGTTCTGTTTCATTTTCCTTTACCTATACTTGGGACGCTTTGTATAGGGGGATATGGGACAGGAAACGAGTAAGCCCGCTAGGGGCTGGCTCGCGTGTGATTTAGTTGAAGATAGAGAAGGTGAAGAACTGGTTAAAAATGTTGCAAAGATTGCTAAAGTGTGTAAAATTGCTGTGCCTTCATGTGGTAGATTACAACCAGAAAGTTGGCGTAGATTACTGACAGAGAAGAAAGGCAAGCTTACAGATAATGATTTATTGCGTACTGCTGAAGCATGGTACAGAGTAGAAAGGCTATCCAGCAGGAGGGTTGGGTAGAGGAAGAGATAAATCATAAAGGGTTAAGAACTGTATGTATATCATAATAATTGTGTTACTGGATGCTGATGGATCCCTATTCTTCCCCCCCCCCCATCAGTCCTACAGATCTCGTCACCCTCATCCTCTCTCTGCAGCTCCCTGCACCTCCAGTCCATTTCTCCCGTCAAAGATTTCTGGTTTCCAAACGTATAAGTCTCTGTCCTTCTGTCTTGTTACTTTCCAGCACTCACATGGTTAATCTTCATGCCTGCAGCTTCACTCCCTTTTTTTTGCACTGTCTAACTTTCTCCCCCCCTCTCCTCCCCGCTTGCCTGCATTTCTACTGATAAGAGTATAAGGTACTGAGGATTGTGGGAGTGACGAGCTCACAAGATTGCATTCAGTGTTGAATACGGGATTTAGGAAGGTGTAGAGGGAATATGCGATGTTGTTAAGTCAGTATAAGAGGAGGAAAGTGATTAATGGTTTGAGGAAGATAAGGGAAATTGGTTGAATTCCGTGAGTTTATTTTGCATCATTTTATTATTTTAAAGTTATTTTAAAGTACATGTTTCTAGAAACAGCTGTATGTGCTGTTAAATGCATAATGTTTTCAACTGTCTTATTTAACCTGCCAGGTCTGTTCATAGTTTAGTATTTCATTTTGCAGAACGGAATGTTGCTTCTCTGACTTATTTTATTAGTTATAATATAGTGTATTGTTGAAAGTGCATCAACCACCACCCTAAAGATGGCGCCTAGTACAGAAGGAGGTTGACCCTGCCAGTCCCGTGACCTATCTACAGTCACGGTTGCTTCTAAAGTGACGTCACTTCCGCCCTTACCATGCCCACACCTCCTGTCTTCCTTTCCCACACATATCATGGACGTCACCCCTCTCACTTCCTCCCTTGCTGTCATTTCCTTCCCCGCCCCTGTCATGGCTGCCTCCATCATGAGGCCTACCCCTATTATGCTCGTCCCATTTAGAGACATGTTGTTTTCCTTACACTCTACATATTATGAACAGAAACATTATAATTACTAAAACAATCATGCCATTTGTTTCCCTGTATCAACAATGTGTCCGTGATATAAAAAAAAAAAGAAGGTTGCTAAAATGTCATTTGCAACTGTGGTGTGACCTACAAATGAGATCTGTTGGACACGAATATAAGAGCATAACAGCTGATTATCCAGATTAATCTTGCAACAAGGGAAATAGCCAAATAATGCAAGTTATTTTAAACATTGTATCTTTACTTAATCGAATCTTGCTAGTTACAGATCGTGGGTTTACAGTAACATCCTTTACGTTAAATGATGGTTTAGCATTAGAAGGGTTTGTGACATGTTTTATTAACCCAGCCACTACTGGTTATTAATTTTAGTTACAGGGTGGTATAATTGTTATAGTCTAATTGATATAAATGATAGTACCGCAATAGTTAATGTTTTATCCAAAGACATATAGGAACTTTACTTCCCTTACTATTAACCATTATTTATAATGATAGACATGTTCAGACTGCAAAAAGCTATGGCTAATGACATAGAAAGGGGTTTGAGTCAGTAACAGCCCATACAGAGGAGAGCAAACCCGCTGATGCTTAATTCCCCTGCCATGGCAGTGTCTACAGGGAACAAGGGGGGCCACTTGCCACTGTGAATTTACCCATTGAAGGACGAGAAACCACATTTTTAGTTGACACAGGTGCAGCCCGAAGTGTTCTGAGAGAACAAGACCCGCCAGATGCCTC